CATATAGAATACAAGAAATATGTCTATAAGACATGGCCTGCCCACCCCCCCAAGTGTTGAAAAAATAAAGATATAGGCAAGGAAGCTATACCAGGAAAGTACACAGAAACAAAGCTAGCAGTGGTAATACTAATATCCATTCAAGGTGAGGAACATTAAATATGCTTTAAACAGAGCAATTAAATAGAGTAATTAGAGACATTATGTGTTTTTTTTTCAAGATTTTATTTAAATTCAAGTTAACGTATAGTGTTGTATCGGTTTCAGGAGTAGAATTTAGTGATTCATCACTTACATACAACACCCAGTGCCCATCCCAACAGGTGCACTCCTTAATGCCCATCCCCTATCCAGCCCATCCCCCACCCTCCTCCCTCCATCAACTGTCAGTTTGTTCGCTATCATTGAGTCTCTTGTGGTTTGTTTCCCTCTCTGTTTTTATATTATTTCCCCTTCCCTTCCCTTATGTTCATTTGTTTTGTTTCTTAAGTTCCACTTATGAGTGAAATCATACGGTATTTGCCTTCTCTGACTTATTTTGCTTAGCATAATATACTCTAGCTCCATCCACATCATTGCACATGGGAAGATTTCATTCCTTTTGATGGCTGATGTTCCGTTGTGCATATATATCATATCTTCTTTATCCATTTATCAGTTGATAGACATGTGGGCTCTTGAGGCACTATCAACAAGAGACATTATGTGTTAATAAAAGGTACAACCCAACAAGAGAGCATAAACTGAAAAAAAAAAAAAGATTGTGGAATCTCAGCAGAGGTGTCATAGTTTTTGAATCCCTTGAAATCTCCGAACACGAATATAGACAACAACTAGGAAAGCAACACTTCAACCCAAATAGGCAAGAAAATATCCCAACAATGGAGAATTTGGGTTAGGCCAAATCATCTACAACTTCAAGAGCTACGAGGAAGCACAGGTGTATGGGAGCAAAGGGAGGAGGGATAGAGGGCACTTCTGAGTGTCCCAAGAACCATGACCCGGAGATCAGCAACAAGTGCTCACTTCAACATGAGGGCATCCAACGCCGAATGAAGGAATAGTTTAACCTAGGAAGGGCTTTACATACTCCCATCTGTAAGTGAGCAGACAGAGGCTGAAGTAAGAGCTGAGCTGAGGTGGCCTGGGTGCTCAAGGCTCTCAGAAACACCCAGAAAACATAGAGCCAAGATGTAGGAGAAGCTTCTGATAATAGAACACACTGATCAGGGCAAGAACGCTTCTGGTAAAGGAGACAGAAGGGTCGGATAAGACTGTAAGAGGTGTCAGAGAATGGAAATATAAAAACCTGAGGGAAAGCTGGTGAAGATGTAGAAACTACATTTTTCATGTGATGGAAACAGTAATAAAAGGCCGTGAAATAAGTAATCCTGGCCCCACACATCCTCCTTCTAAAATTCCTAGATAACCCATCTCCCAGATAAGATATTGTAAAGGGGAAAAAATAGAATGATGGGATTATCATATTCACAGAGAATGATATATTGGAGAAATAGAGCTATAAGACAGAAGAAAATAGTAATTTGTTGTTTTAAACAAAGCTGTAGGAAATTAAAGAAAAACAGAAGCTATAAAAAGAATGCTCAGAGAACTTTGGAGAAAATCAGAAATCAAAGAAAACATTTCAGAAAGAGGTACCTGGAAAGTATAAGGAAAGCAGAGGAAGAAGAAAAGTGGAAAAAAAAATCAAACAGAAATGAAGGGAATAAAAGTTTTTGGAAGTGATAGTTATAGATGAGAGTCAAGGAAGAGTCGAAAGGAATCCAAAGAGAAAAGTCAAAGCAATGGCACAAAACAAACAAGGGTCCAAGGACCTATGGAGAGGGGAGAAGCCTGACTCAAGTTTGGTCAAGTCAGCTTAGCGGGTAGATTGTGCAGATCGGTGAGTGGGAACAAACAGTCCAGCTAATCATTTATTATTTTTTAAAAAGAGAATTTGGAGAGAAGTTGTAGTCTTATTTGTAAATAAGGATGTCATGAGCAAGTCTCATCTAAATCACATGGGAAGGATGGTTCTTTACAGCAAGCCATTTCCTGGCACACAAATGGGTAGGTGGATTCCTACTCCTGACCTCTAAAACAACAGCTGTGTCCAGGAGCACAGGGCTCAGGTAAACCTCAAAATGGTCAAAGTGAAGATCTGGGCATTAGATACGATCATTAACATTGGGGGATTGCTGTTTCTAGGTCCTCTTAATGGACAGAGCTGGGAAGACAGGTGATATAGATACACAGAAATGTTTGTATTTCTATATCTACCTATAAATACTAACAACACGAATGCTTACAGATACCTCCAAATCCAATTCAACACCACAGTGTCCATTAGAGTTTGCTTCATTTCCATACACAGTAAAACCTTGGTTTGTGAGCCTAACTCGTTCTCGAAACATGCTTGTAATCCAAAGCTCTTGTATATTAAAGCGAATTTCCCCATAAGAAATAATGAAAACTCAGATGATTTGTTCCACAACCCAAAAATATCCATATAAAAATGATTACAATATTGTAATATAATACAAAAAATAAAGAAAATGGAAAATATAAAGAAAAACAAATAAATTAATCTGAACTTGCCTTTGGAAATCTCGTGGCTGGTGTGAGGGAGACAAGAGAGTGTAGGATGACTTTCACTATCACCGACGGAATCACTGCTATCTATTGGCTCAATGGAATCTTTTTCTTTCAGTGAAACTTTAACAAGGAACCAATAACCTAGAATGAAGCAATGCATTCCTAAGCTTACTCTTGTATGGAAAAGCGAAGGACTGTCCATAGGTGCTTTTCTTTTTACTTAAAAATTTTTTCTTTAAAATGGTTATTTTTGAGAGAGAGAGAGAGAGCGAGAGAGAGCGAGCATGAGTGAGGGAGGGGCAGAGAGAGGGAGACACAGAATCTGAAGCAGGCTCCAGGCTCTGAGCTGTCAGCACAGAGTTCAACGTGGGGCTGGAACCCACGAACTGTGAGATCATGACATGACCTGAGCCCAAGTCGGACGCTTAGTTGACTGAGCCACCCAGGCACCCCCATAGGTGCTTTGAAGTGACAAAAAATACAATAGTGCCCATGTGGACACCTTCCAACGTTCTGGAAAAAATCACTGATTTCTGACAAACACTGTGGCCTGAGACCGAGCAATTGAGCATGGGAGATGATTGCCCATTCCTGCAGAGAGCGAGAGAGCGAGAGAGCAAGAGAGAGAGAGAGAGAGAGAGAGAGAGAGAGAGAGAGAAAACCATTGGCTCAGTTGTGATCATGTGACATTTGGCATCACATACTATTCGTATTCCAAGACACTGCTAGTTTGTCACGTTAAAATTGATGAGCAGTGTTTGCTCATCTTGCAGAACACGTTACTCAAAATCCAAGGTTTTATTGTATTTTTAAAATTTGAGACAGAGAGAGTGTGAGTGGGGGAGAGGGGCAAAGGGAGAGAGAGAGAGAGAACCCAAAGCAGGTTTCGTGCTCAACCCCGGGGCCCCACCCAGGGCTCAATCCCACAATCCTGGTGCCATGACCTGAGTTGAAATCAAGAACTGGTGGCTCAACTGACTGAGCCACCCAGGCACCCCTTCATTTCCATATTTGAAACTCCATTCTACAACAGGGATAAAGCTAGTATATTAACATCTTTGTGCAAGTATCCAAGATATAATGAGTATTTGTTGCCATCAAGGTTCCCTTCCTGGCATGCCATCAAGGTTCCCTTCCTCACCCCACTCGAGCCCTGACATCCTGTGCTAGGTATCCCACTCAGGTTCCAACAGTGTTAAGTAGGCCACCCTCCAACTCAGATGTACTCCTTCCTCACCTGCTTGGGTCCTGACACCCTGGTCTCAGCTGTCCCTCTGCCACAGCAGCACTCTTCTCAACCCTCCTGTGCTGGGAGCATTCCTTCCCATTGCCCCCTAAGTATGCACACCTTGCTTAGCCCACTCAATGAATGACTTCCGGGCTGACATGTACGGGAAGGGAGTGAAAAGGAGAGGAATTGGAAAAGAAAGATGACCTAATAAACCCGATGCGAATCTGATTTCCTTTCTCTTAAAACGGAATCTTCCTTCATTCTATTTGTTCTATAACACACACGAATTCCATTTTATTATCATTATTTTAGTTTATTTTATAGATGAAATTGTTGCTTTTATTTAATGGAATATATGAACAATGAACAGGTGAACACGATTTAAAAACACTACATATTCACTTAAGTCATAGAAGAAAACCTATTTTTTGTCCTCAGCAACCTTTTAGAGACTAATCTCCATGTGTTTGATTACTGATGCCACACTTATTTATATTTACAAAAAACAAAACAGAAAAACGCAATTGAATCGATCTTTCTGCCTGTATTCTCCAGTTACTGTTTTCCCTTTAAAATCCCAATAGTTTTCCTATAATAGGTCTCATTGCTCGCTGTTTTGGGTTGATTTTCCCAAGTACACAGCGCGTACTTTTAGTAAGTAGGTTTATGGCTTTTTTATTAAAAAGAAGTTTTCTTGAATTGTAGCAAAGCACCGAAACTGCACAGCAACTGGTCTTTCCTGCCCCCTTTCAGGCCATCCCTCCTGCACAGGGAAATTCTTTGCCCACAAGGGCACTTTGGTGGGAAATTTCGAGATGTAGGGACTTAACTTCTATGAGCTTTTAACTCGTAGATTTTAAGAGGAAATCGAGGAGAATGCCGTTGGTGTCGTGCGAAGCGCGTAACAAACGCAGTGTGACATTTCTCTTGCTCGAGGAGATTCCAATTTGCGAAGGGAGCACAGGTCCTAACTTCATTCTGCAAAGTCTCCCCTGAAGCCCCAAATCCGCGTCAGCACCGGAGACTTAACTCACGCTCACACGCGCGCATGCTCCGTTGGTGTAGCAGCGCCCCTCCTTTTCCGCCAGGAGGAAGTCCCGTTTGTTTATTAAATTACGACAGTCGTAAACTGAGATTTTTGTGCCGGCTTCCTAGTTTTACGACGACAGCAACAATGGCGGCCACCAGTGGCAGGTTTGAAAGTGAGAGAAGTATTGAAGAACGTAAAGAACAGACCAGGATTGCCAGAGCCGAGGTGTTGCGCCAGGTATCTCCGTTTTGGGGGTTTTGGAGTCATTTAGAATTGGGAGTGGACGGTTCCTGGGAACTAGGCCTCTGGCTGTCTTCCTAACCCCCTCTCTTCTTTCGCCACCTCAATGTCTCACCTAATCTGGGTGAGGGTCTCCCTTTGGGATGCGCAAAAAGTCTTGGTTATCTCCCGCCTCGGAGATGCGTTGGCAGTCTCTAGTTGCTCATTCTCTTTTTAGGAAGACCTGTTTCTTTCCTGAGTTTACTTAATTTTGAATTTCTCCATTCTTGATATTTCCATCATTTGGCTACCAGGGGCAGCGCCCTTTTGAGGTACTCTGCCACTAATGACAGCTCTCCCAGCGCGTTTCACAGCCTCGGTCCTCGCCCCTCCTGTATCTGAAATAAAAATTCCCGTTTTCAGAAATACATGTGAGGCACATTGCAACAGACTGTTTCACGCTCTTGTCTTACTATTGATATCAGTTGGAGGGTTATTGTAAATCCTTACTGATCAATGCAAGGATTGACAGGAGAGATTCGAAAAAGGTTAAGACACATTGTATTTCTAAGGTTGAGATGCATAGAGGTAACCTGTAAATAATGGAGGAAGTAAACTGTATTATCTGACAAGATGTAAGAATGAAGGGGAAAAGTTGTGACTGGAGAGCAGCATGGGGTACAAGTGGGCGTTTTTGTTTTTGCTTAAGATGGAATACTTTTATTTTATTTTATTTTTTTAATTTTTTTTTCAACGTTTATTTATTTTTGGGACAGAGAGAGACAGAGCATGAACGGGGGAGGGGCAGAGAGAGAGGGAGACACAGAATCGGAAACAGGCTCCAGCCTCTGAGCCATCAGCCCAGAGCCTGACGCGGGGCTCGAACTCACGGACCGCGAGATCGTGACCTGGCTGAAGTCGGACGCTCAACCGACTGCGCCACCCAGGCGCCCCGATGGAATACTTTTAAATAAATACCGATGAGAAAGAGCTGGTAGAGGGGAAAGTCATAATGACTATAGGCAGATGTCAAGGGGAAGAGTAGGCGATTAGTGTTGGACAGGTGAATGGTTGGTATTGTTCTCTGATTTCAGCATACTGTAACATGTATAATAAATATTCTTCATCCTTGCTTTTTTGGTATCTCGGGCAGTTTTTGGAGGGAGTAGGATTTGTAAGCTAGGATAAACTTTATAGTAAAGGGGACTCTGGATGACTTCAGTCGGTTAAGCTTCTGACTCTTGATTTTGGCTTAGGTCGTGATCTCACGGGTTCGTGAATTTGAGCCCCATGTCGGGCTCTGTGCTGGCAGTGTGAAGCCTGCTTGTGATTTTCTCTTTCCCTCTCTCTGTCTGTCCCTCCCCTGCTCATGCCCTCTTGCTCTCTCTCTCTCAAAATACATAAATAAACTTAAACTTTTTTGTAGTAGAGATACCCATAGAGTTTGAGAAGGACAAAACCAGCTTTGGAGTTTGGAGAGAGAATGAAAAGGCAAAAGCAACCTCCTAGGAAGAACTTATTTTACTTGACTAATTGTTGAAAGATGAATACACATTAGCAACACGATCATTTGTTTTTAGAAAGATGATTCTTCCTGAAGCATTTGAGGGCATGGATAGAAGAATATGACATTGCAGATTGAAGGCATTGCCATTCTCCTAACAGTCACTGAAGTCCCAGGCAGTAGCAGTGGGATGGTGAAAGAAAAAGAGATTCAAGTCCTATTTAAGACAGGGAGCTTGGGCAGAGGGGGTGGTCTACTATAGATCCCAGCATTCTGTCCCTGATTCATTAGAGACTGGTGATGTGATTAGTAATGTGGAAGGAGAGGGTTTAAAAAAAAAAAAAAAAAATATATATATATATATATATTTGCCCCTATACTTTGGTAGAAGCAAATTCCTGTCAGGGACAGACAGTGATTTATGAGACTTTATATGAAAGTGGAAAATGACTTCGTTTTACTTTTTTTTGCGAAAAATAATTGGATCATTTGTTAATTTTTCTTTTTTCATTGTTTTAGGCTAAAGCAAATTTTGAAAAGGAAGAGAGGCGTAAAGAACTTAAACGACTTCGGGGTGAGGATACATGGATGCTACCTGATGTGAATGAGCGAATTGAACAGTTCTCACAGGTGAGTACTAACAGGTTTACTTGATGTAACAAATCTGTCTTTTTTTTTGCTCTTATTCAAGTTAATATTGGAAAAGCAACTTTATTTTTTTTTATTTTTTATTTTTCAATATATGAAGTTTATTGTCA